TCCAGTGTTTATTGATTTTGTCTTCAGGCATCTGCTGTTGAGTGTCCAGTTGACGTGTGTCCACGGCGAGCATCAGGATCTACGATGATCGCGAAACAGCGCGGGGCGCGTTTGGAAATTTCCAACGCTCGTTACTAACAGACTGTTTATTATTCTCGGGTGAGGAGTAAATTTTCAGTAATTACGAATTAAGCAAGGGCCTTGAATGGCGTTTCTTGTACGAGGGCAGAGCGGGACATCTGGTGGCCGGTGGACAGAGTTACGAGCCAGACACCTGTCAGCGCTCTGCGAATTCGTTAACGGGACGAGACTCGTTTGCATTGCGCCGATAATTACTAATTCTCTCTGATTCAGTTAAATAACTCCAAGACGAGATCCGATTTTTATTAGACTTAATGTTTGAATAACAATTCGGAAATGTAATTTCAAAATTCTCTTCTAATCCATATGCGATCTGCGTCCCGAGACCCCGATTAAGTCTTTCGCTCAACTTCACAGACAAGAATTGCAGGAGTTTATGCAACAGTGGGCTAAGTGTCGTCAGTGCAGAAGTTCTGTTTGCCTGATTGCTGTGCCATCTGTTGACATGAACGTAACTAAACTTATGTTCCAAGTTTTGCCCTTGTGGAGCGTAGAAAACGTAAAACGTCATGTCATCACCTTCATAGTACGCTACCTTGAAATAGGTCAGAACCTCCTCCTTACAGATCTTTACCATTCACGGTCTTCTTCATGTCATAGTGGCCATTACGTACAGCTAGGCTAAGCATTTCATCCTGCGACGTTTGTCATTGCTTTTAAAAGTCGATAATTTGTGATGGTGATAAGCAGTGGAAGGTAGGAATTAAAAGTATGGCTTATTTATGCGCTGGTATTTGGAGAAACTTCGCTGAGCGACTACTGAATTTTATTGTCTGTAGAGAAACAGGTGGATCGAAGTTTTGAAAGTTATGTGACCCAGATCCGTCAATTTTTAACCTCCCCGCAACGTCGGTTTGATAAAACTGAGCCGGACTCCCCCATCAGAACAGTTAGCCCCCCCCCCGCCCTCGCCCCTCGAACAGAAAGAAGTACGAGGCCAAAGTCTCGGCTTGGGACTCCCCGATATCTTATAGTTGATATGTCGCCTTTAAATAACCCGCGGATAATCGTAATATTTCAAGTTTATCCACGGCTGCTCTGGTGATATTGTGCCGTGATGTCGCCATCCCGATGATGGAAGCAGTAAGAACCTTTGAAACGTCGTTTGCCTTCTACGGAAGTGCACAGCGCAAAAACCCCAAAATGGGTGTGAACATTTTTTTTCAAAAAAATAGTTTTCGCGCTACGACTTAATTTTTGATTGAGCTGTTTTTATGGTTCTGAAACGTCTTCAACGTAAGTGTCTTAGTGGAAAAATTAGTCCAGGTTCATCTATTACTATTTTGATTTTGAAGTTGTGAACACAGAAAGGTTCGTGCAAACTGAAAAGTATGACAGATCGATTCTCGGCTGTGGTACTAGGGACATTCTGACGTAAACTTATCGATAATTTCCACCCCGTCTGAAAGCGCCTCCTTCGAGAGCAAAGCCTCGCAGACACTGTGTTAATTAGCGAGCTCAGTGCTAACAGCTGGTCACGTTTACGGCCCACTGTAATCCAAACACCGAGCGCTCACCCCAATATTGCAGTTCTAAATCCCGCGCGATAACCGGCAAGAGTCCGTAATCTGCCGCACACCGCACCCCAATAAACCCACCCCTCCGCGTCATTGTCACGGACTCACCCACCACCTCACACGTCTCACTACAGAGCGCCAAGCCCCTCGGGGCCCACGCCACACTCTCTCCAAGTCTTCCTCTCTCGCACCGAACGCTGATTCCTTTTCGTTGTTTTCCTCCGTCCTGATGAAGGAGGCTGAGAACACTTCTGAAACGACGGTGACCGGGATGTCTTTGTCTATTGCCTACAGCGAATGATTCTCGTCGTGAATCTTCGGAACCTTAGAACACAACACGTCTTTAAAACTCGATTGGAGATTTGTTTTTGTCTCGCGTCTGGTGATGTGGTTTTGTGTGGCAAATTGATAAAGGACGTCGCTTCGAGGTGCCTTAATTTAAGCCACAGTCGATCCAGCCCCTTCTTAAGTACTAATGTTCTCACCAACATGGCCGCCCCAATATTACTTCGTCTCTATTAGCACAGAACAAATATAAAGACATTAAGGTGCATTAGAAGCTTATGGCCCGCCACGCACAGTACAAATCACTAAGATAAATCAACAGTGGATCTCTGACTATAAACAAATTACGTGGACCCACGAAAACGAAGTTAATTATGACTTTTAATACAAGGACAAATTTACTACAATCTCGGTCTGTGTCACATGAAAAAGTTTCATCGGGGTACCCTGGTGATGGAAGACGGTAATTGCATCGGAGAGGTCCGTCAGCTTCCGCCAGACTCAACGGTGCAAAGTCCCGAAAGACGGGTCAGGTCATGCTTGTCGCCGCCAGAACCTGAAATGTCTCCAGGGTAACTTGTGACTCTCTGCAACAACAGATTATGCACGTACGATGCGTTGAAACCAGGGCATGTGACCTTAACTGCTGCATATTCGAGCAGATAAGAGGTCGCGGAGCGAGACAGCTGGCACGTGTGAGGGGTCCTCCGCCCTCAGTCTGACTCATTAACATCTTTATGGTTTTAACAACGCTTTTCAGTTGCTTAGGTTACACAGTGTCGTAATTTGTGGGTCTAAACGATACTAATTTATGTATATAAAGTGAATCGTTCGCGGCGAAAGAAATTGATGAAAGACTCACTTGTTACAAGCCACGTCAGGTGGCTGAATGGTGAATGAACCAGTTCTTCCGCCAACGTTTCGAGAGCCATCTCTGCTTCCATCTTCAGGGCAGCTGCCAAACTAAACTGGTCCTATGTAGCGCGCTCGCCGAGGGGAACTGGGTTGGCGGAAGAAATGGTTCATTCACCATTCACCTGACGTGGCTTGTTACCCGAGAGTCTTTTATTGATATTAATTTAATTCAGCTGTTTGAATCAGTGATTTACATTTGAATCATAACATTGAGAATTTTGGGTTTGTTTTTCATGTCTAAATCATTACATGATGGTAGTATTCTTTTCGCATTGGTCACAGAATGGAGCTTTTATTGTTTGTTTGTTCGTTTGTTTAGACTTACTGATGTAACAGAATCGTTTCAGTATGTTGATTAAAGTGTGAACAAGAAACAAATAAGATTCGTACGTATGAGGATCGATCGATCCATCCATCCATTCATCAGAATGCCAGTCAGTCCGTGCCGTGGGCTCCTTGCTTGTTCAGCTGTGAGATCTCTTTCCACAAGCCGGGAAAGGAAAACAAGAATGCAGGTTGCGAGCTTGTACCGCGTAGAAAACACAAACACTGACTATTCTTCTTCTCCTTCTTCTTACTCTGGTTTTTGCTGCAGCTGACACATACTTCTAAGGTTCCTGTAGGATCGGCGTGCAACGGGGCTGGTTTCTCTTGATAGTGCGGTTTCTGGATCTCCGTGGCTCTCGTGTCGTAGCACAGCTGATTGAGGAGGGGGGGGGGCAAAGACACGCATTAACGCAGTCGGATTTGAGGTTCCCACTGCCCTGATGATGGAGGCAACAAAGACCTCCGAAACGTTGGTAAACTTCTACCAGACTTCGCGTCGTTACAACACAGCGGTTGAGTGGTTAGCACTCCCGCTTCGTATTCGGTGGGTCCCGATTTCAAATCTCAGCTTGATGAGTTTTTTCGTGGTTTTGCTCGGTCCCCCCACGCGAATGCTCCAATTTATTGTCCGCCAATTCTCCCTTAATTCAACTCTGTAGACCTGCAGTAAAGCACGTGCTAAGTGCCGCGCTGTGTTATTGAGAGACGAAACATTTGAATCAGAACAGTGAGCAGACTGGGTCTGTTTATAATGATTATAAGTCCGCACCGACATACACTCGGTCAATGTTTCATTGGCCACAAAGTGGAGCGTAGAACGTAAGCAAGAAACAAATGAGATACTGAACGAACGTTTCTTTCAGCAAAATACGAACCACGTTTATCAGGTTGTGATAACGAGACTTAATTTTATCACTGACTGCATTTAATCTGGCCTTGCTAGGAGTCTAATTAAAACAAGTTATGCACGTTCATGATCGTTTGGTATTTCCATCTGCGTCGTCACTTCGCACGCTGTGCTCCAAACGCTGGATCGGCAACGGAAACATTTCTGAGTAAGTCACAATTGCAGGGGCTCGTGTGAGGATTAGAGGCGCTGTAAACTAGTTCTAAGTGACAGTTATGAAATCCTTGTCTTGAGAAGACGCTGTAGAAAGCAGCCGAGCTGCGAAACAAACGCTAAGATTACGACAACAGGCGACAAGCTTATCCGTCGTTGCAGAAAAATAGTGGCTGTAGGTTTCCTGCAACTGCTGGGAATTCTCACACTTTCCTGTACTTTAACCCCCAGAAGCCGAAGCTCGTCTAAATATTATTTAAGAAATCAGTCCGTACCGCGAAGAAAACACCACACTTCACCATTACAAAGATCAACTGGTTAATCCTTTGAATCCGAAGCTCGTATAAATATTACGTAAGAACTCAGTCCGTACCGCGAAGAAAACACTACACTTTACCATTACACAGATCAACTGGTTAACGCTGTTTAAGGAAATAATCGCTGTTTACAAGCAAAAATCGTACGAAACACATGAATATAAAATGGAGAGGTACTGACAGTTAAAGCAGGTGGTACATATAATTACCACTTCGCTTTAAAGGATTGTCCGATGGCATGATTGTAGAATATCTAAACGCGTCTATTGAAAATTATAATAAACATTTGCGGCATGATAGTAGAATGTAAGCTTCAGATTGAAGATTGAAGTCAACACGCCCCTCCATAAATGTGACGTCTCTTGAAGTAATTTGTACTAACGCAAATCCTTCTTACTAAGCACCAAAGATTTTAACGATGCTGTGTCATCTGCACAGATGAGATGGGAAGATAATCATGAAGGCAAGGATTTCGAAGGAGGCGGCCGTTTTCTGACGCTGCCACTGTGCGACTCACCTGAAGAGACGAAAACCACGAAGATTCGATTCGGGATTGGAGCTCCTTTATCACTACACCCCCCTGGTGGCTGCTAGGTAAGTGTTGTTTTATTTACCATTTAATTACGTCTACATGTTTTTGTATTGCCTTTAGATCACTGCGTTGTTTATTGCTTGTTTATCTGAACAGCTGGTTTACGTCATCCAGGTCTTGCGATTTGTGTCTAAGTGTTATAACGTGAAACTAAGTCGCTTTGAACACGCGCGTATTAATTTGAAAGTTCCAGCGACATCTTCTGACTCGAGAGCTCCACCAGAAATTTTATCTGCATCATTTCAGTTTATTTCAACGACGACAAACAACGTTCTCGAAACGTCGGTGTTCTCTTCATCAAACCACCTGACACGCCTGGCAGCCCGAGGAGAATTCGTTATATTTTATAATGTCGAGCTTTTGTGACGTCATTCAGTCGGAGTTGATTAACTGTCATATGTTGGAAGAAGGCGATTATATATGACGTGTGTACATCGCAGTGGGCGATGCGTGGCCTGGCTATAAAATTATTATATACGTAAACAGCAGTTATCTCGAATTAACCTCTACCTGCTTAAGTAGGGTGCACGAGAGTTAATCTTACAACATTACATTACAGCTTGTTGCGTACGTCTTCAGGAAGAGTCGGTAAACCCATTACCTTGAATTAACTAGTGTTTGCCAAATCTAGCGCCTTTTATTGTCATTCTCCGTGTAACCACAAAGACATTTCTTCATTCTTATGGCAGGTAGACAGTCCATTGTTTTCCATGTAACTAGGAGACGTGAGGCGGCGAACATGAAGACTTGATCTCATGGCCTTCGTGGTGTAAAATGTGGCGACCGGTTTGAGCAAACACTTACTTCAAACACGGGGTGGCGAGAGAGTTCTAAGAACCGTCAAAGTTTTGAGGTCGTCCATGTTAGTACGTCGTAAAAAAAAAATAACAAATCTGTTGGAATCGGGCAGAGTAAGGCAAACAATACGATAGCCAAGCCGCTCAGAGCGAAAGCTCGTCTTCTCTATTTGCCTTTATTATGCAATGTATTAGCTGTGCTCCGTGGAGTGCGGTATGTTGTGCGTGGCTTTGTTTGAAATGTGAAATATTTCACAGAGGTTGAACCTCTGATAATTGTCAGCATCGCATTTCTTTTATTTTCTTGTTTCGTCCTCAGCTGAGTCTAGATATTAATACTTCCAAATGCTTCTTATGTGGTACGGATTCTTGAAAACTTAAACGCTGAATGTGATTCGTGGATTATACGGAGCTGATGTCAAACGACGGCCCCCTTAATATAGTCCACTGCCAGCATCTGATCTGATCCCTACGCCCACTCCCCAAACTCAGACTAGCAATAAAGTTGCCGCTCGTAGAGTGCGTTCGGGTTTAACTCCTCGTAACCTATTAGTGTTAACGCATCAACTGCTGAAGTTTCATAGAGTTGAATGACACGTGAACGTCTGAGGGGGTGGACCGAGGAAAGTCGGAAAAGTCGGAAAACAGGAAGACAAATTGCACCTCTGCTGATGAGCAACGTTTGTTGGTAATCTTTCAAAATTAAGTATGATAAGGCTCTCGGGAGAAACAGAAAGGTGTGCATAGAATTTTGATCTGGAACCATCAGGGGTTAAGCCTCTGTGGGACACCGAGGCGTGGATGGAAGGATAATATTAAAATGTTTATCAGACAAATAGGGTCTGAGGGTGTGGAATGGACTGATCTGGTTTAAGATCGTATCTAGTCGAGATTAACTGCCAAATTAAGATCCAAGATAAATTGTAGTAGTGACGAAAGAAGTGTTATCGGTGTTTGTAGCGTCCAATTGAAATTAAAAATCAAAAGTTGAAGTTCTGCTGTGTTTTACAAGCTTTTGTTTGGAATCTCCTCACACCTGTCGTAGAAACATTTTTTTTTTGGGAGGGGGGGTGCAGCCCGCAAAGCTCATGTAGCGGGTATAGGATTAAGATGTGCTGGTTACCCTCTTTTAAATTCGCCAGTGTTTTGTCTTCATTACCAATACATGACAGAACCCGGCCATGGGAACGACAAGTGTTCGGTCTCGAAGGTTATGAGGGAGTGGTCCTCCGGCTTCGCCCAGTGAAGCCTACGTTAATTGTGTGCCTGTGACGAAGCAGCCTCTGATTTTACAGGAAGTCTGCATTGTCTTCAGAGTACCTGCTGCAACATCCCGGGAAGAAGCCATCTTCGTACTCTAGCGTTTACTTGGAAGAACTACGCGAAATTGACTGCGAACGTCAAGAGGTTTTTGAATGAGGTTCGGCAGTGCTGGACAGCACCCCCCCCCCCCCTCTTTGTCATACTTGATGGGGGTTTAAATTCGACTTTACTGCGATGGTTATTAGCAAGTGTCAACATATTTAAATAATTTAAAATCATGATTAAATTAATGAAATTTGAGGTTCTCAAGGTGGTGAATAAGTCGACTTCGATTCTTGTATGGTGTTTAAACCGAGTCTTGTGAACTGAACGGCCGGGGATCTATTCCCTTCAGAGTCGTTGAAAATGTTCTTTTAATTGTCTCATTAAGAGTCCTCATGACGTGCACAGCGCCGTATGTCCGCCGATGGTTTCATTAAAAGTGTGCGGAGTGTCGTTAAAACTTGTGTAGCTTAAAGCTAACTGCTCACATCTGATGCTAGAAATACGTTTAATTGTGGCCAAATTTACTCCCGAGTTTAGTTGTAAAATATACAGCAATTTTGAAGGCAGGAGTGTGGATTTCTGGGTTATGAAGCTGTGTACTCTTGTAGGAGGCTATCAGCGTTTCCGAGGGTCTTCAGGGTAGCGGTCGGATGGTCGGAGGTTCGGGGAAACCACAGCCGAAACGTCGTTCTCCAGAGCTCGGCAGGCGCAGGAACGAAACCCTCCAGACAGTGGCGTTGGGCAGGGTTCTGTCCACTCCAGGGGGACCCCCTTGCTGACAGCTGGCATCGGGCAGCATCTTTCTGCTGTCGGCACCAGTCGATAATTGGAGTGCTGATGTGTGGAGCGAGGGACGCGCTCCACCCCCACAGTTTGCAGTTCCATTCAATTATTCAATCCAATATACTCTCCCTGTCTGTCACTCGCTCGTGAGAACCCCCCGTGCTGTGTGGCCTGCCTAATATCAGAGTAAACCAAGTGACCGATTTGAACCGACTGAGGAAGAACCGTGCATTTGAGGGCTGGGAGATGGGATCTTCTGGGTTTTTAGGCCTGAAGATGGAAGCAGTATGTTCCTCCGAAACGCTGGTGTGCGGCAGAGAGTCTGCAGGCCCTGAAAGCTACAGGTCTTAGACCGTTAGAACTTAATGAAATACCTGCAACCGAATTCCAGTGCATCTACAAGATTTATTGTTTTGAGAACAAAAACACGCTTTAGAACAATAACAACAGAGGAAAAATGATTTCAACGAACACAACTTGACCTTAGTGCCATCTTACACGTAACTTCATTACAGTGTTGCCAATTTTGATACCGAAATATAGCGGTAATCTTAAATATTATCCCATAAGTCTCGCAATTTAACAGCAAATAATCACTAATCAAAGAAAATCTGCCTCTTATATAGACAGGTCCATCTTACAGGCCTAAGACAGATAATAATCTTTAATTTGCCTGGAGGGACTGATAAAAAGAAGAACTGGTATTTATTAATATTTTAATCTAACTAATAAATTAATTTATTAACGAATGGGGGACGGAATGAGAGTTTTAAAGAATCACTTTGGGTTACTCGCGATTCGTCATAGGCAGTCGGTGTGGTCATTCTGCACCAGATGGCAGGTGTGGCGCACCACAATTATTAAATGCATCTCCTGTCAATCACCGGTAGCGTTTATTTTTATTGCACGGGCTGGCTGGATTACAGACAGACAGACAGACCGGGAGGGAGCCAGAGAGCTGAAGACGCCGGTCTCGCTGATACGCAGAATTAATCTCGCAATAAGCGTTCTGTCGCTCAAAACATTTCCTTCCGTCCTGTCTGCCAGCTGAACGTTCAAAGAATAGTGTGGGAGAAGCAGATGAAATGCGTGTTCTGACATCGGTTGCCTGTCATTTGATATTAATACACGAATTCTAAATTATTTTTGTCACGAAAAACTACGTGAATACGAGGCCAAAACAACAAGATTCAAAGTTCGCTTTGTAGCAGATTGAAGAATGTAGTTGTATTTTATAAACTATTAAAACGTAATCTTAAAAGCAAATTTCAAGCAAAACCGGTTAAATACTATTCTTGTACAGTTTAGCATTGAACTTCTTTGAAATATGTATCAGAATAGCCAATATTTGCAAAGAAATTATGATGTCTACTGCATCTTTGATTGCAAAGAAGTTTTACGAGTTGGTATTACAAAAATATTTGTTTAAACTTGTCACATTTCAGCGTAACTTTCGATGTTTCTTTATACAAACGTTGATTTTGGTTTTGTGCTGCATTTGTGGTTTCATGACGTATAAACTCTTCTGATTTCGAAATGAGCTTTTGATAATTTAATAATGTCTGGCCAAATGAATTTTCTAGACGTAATTTTGCTATCAGCAGAACACGAAGAGACACATTTACATGAAGTTACTTTCTGATTGAAGATTTCCGTCTTCTGGGTTGTTGCGC